TTCGAAGAGAATAGCAATGTTGAAAAAAATGTGCAGATCACAGATGAAAAGAGAATGACGAAGAGGGTGAAGTGGACAGTGATGGTACATATTGGGCGAAATCCGATAGCACACATTGCTAATAGGCCAAAAATGAAACATTTACTAAAAAAAGATTACAAGACGCGTCAATGTGTATTCCNCTAAAAACAAAATTTTAAACAAATAATTAATAGCCAAGTAATAGACATTAATCGGTCACAGTAAATGGATGTGGGCTATTAGAATCTTCTCGTATAAAACGTATTCATAGTTGTTCCTTATATTTAAGATCATCTTATTGTCATCCTTAAATATTCNTGAACCAATTAGTATCTTAAGATGATAATAAGACGATCTTAAATAAGAAACGACAATGAATACCGGTCATATTTTGGGTAATGTTAAACTCGAAAACTGTATTTGCATTTGTGTTTTTATTATATTAAACAGCTATCCAGATAACAAATTACTCCGCAAAAGAGAATAAGTGAGCTTTGTTACAGACATTTCAAGCGGACATCGGAGCAAGAGACATCGAGTCACAGGCGTTGGAATATATAGCTGGCTATGTAGCCCATCGCTTCCGTCATAAATACAAGCATTTNGGCACTTCTACTCAAAATGTGCCCTCCGCGCGATAACTGGATTTCATGTACTTCACGTGGAAATTGTATCCTTCTTTCGAATAATTTCGTGGAAACCGCAAAAATCATAAATACTGAATTTATTGTATTTCATGGACAATTTTTTAATATAGAAAATAAAATATTCGATAAATTAACTATAAAAATATGTACTAATCTTATGAATACAAATTTCCTACAAAGGTGATTGCGTGTTTAGTGCAAACCAGATCGTGGTAAATATATAGAAACGGTCGCCCCTCTCCGATTTCAATGAGCTTGACATATGTTGTCAAGGACACCTTCCTGAGTAACAATCCGTAAATTTTAGCCGTCGCTCGTTGTTAATAAAAAAGTTATGAACAATTGAAGTTTGAAAACTAAGATTGCCAATTTTTGCTAGTAACTGAAAATTTGGAAACATTTACAATTTGTAATCATGTATGTATACGTTAGCGTCAAAGCCCGAGAATGTGTCAATCAGACTCAATAGGATAAAGTAGTATTAAAACAAGA